CACCCACACCACCCACACCCACACCCTCCATTGAAAATAGGCGGTATGTTGATGATTACCATCATGATAATATAAGAAAAATTTATTTTAGGACCAGGTCACATTGTTCAAATTGATGAATCATGTTTTGGAAAACGGAAATATCAACGTGGTCGTTTATTGAACAGTCAATGGGTCTTTGGTGGTATTGATATCGTCACAAAACAATGTTTTGCAGTACCAGTTGATAATCGTGAGGCAGCTACATTATTACCAATAATTCAAGAATATGTTTTACCAGGTACTGTTAATGCACTTAAAAGGCTATTAAAAATTATACCTTTCTCTTTTATTAGATACAACTATTCATTCAGATGAGTGGAAAGCATATCACAATCTCGGAAGAAATCCAGATTATGTTCATTTAACAGTCAATCATTCATTGAATTTCGTTGATCGAACTACCGGTGTACATACCCAGAAAATTGAAAATACCTGGATGTTGGTCAAACGTAAACATAAAAAACAAGTTGGATTTTCTCGAACTTTATTGGAATCTTATTTAAAGGAATTTATGTGGCGTCAAGAATTTGGTGATAAACCTTTGAAAAGCTTAGTTTTACAAATTAATACATTGTATCCTGTGGTTTAATTTTTTTTTTTGAAATAAACTCAATCGTTCGTAAATGACATCTTTTGTAAATGAGGACATCTTTAATGAACAGCTCCTTATTCGTTCAATAGTGGTGTGCTTATTTTCCAATAATTTTTTTTTCCTGTTCTGTCTTTATATATATGAACGATAGTGGTGTGCTTAAACTGCACATGCACCGTTTCGCCTAATAAGAAGGACTTCCGGGTAGTCCCTAAAAGCTCGGCCAGGAACTGTCTTGGTGTCCGTGGCACACGATCGAGCCACCAGACTCACTGACATATGACATCGGATGGGTGCATGTGGATGATGTGGGTCTTCCCGCGCGTGCATGAGCATTACGCTCGCCAGGGCTCCACCAGGATGGTTCCTGGTCGCGCGAAGAGAATAGAATAGCAATGAATTCATTTTTTCATTGAATCGCGATTTGTTTGAAAGAGAAAGAGAACAAAAAAAGTAAAATTCATCATCGTATTGAATTTCATTCGATATCAAATTTTTGTACTCGATGATTTCCGTAATCGACGACATAGAGATTGCCATGTCGATCGAATGATAAACCTGTGGGATAATTGAGTTGATTCGACTGTGCTCCTTCATCGTTTCCATCGACAATGGCACTTCCTCGTGTGGCTCCTTTTGGCCAACGCATGATTCGATGATTCCTACCATCAGCCACATAGACAGTACCCAATTGATCAACAATGACTCCTTCAGGATCATTCAATTGTGTAAGACTATTTCCTTCTCCATGGCCACCGGTGACGATAATGCCTTGTGTTGCACCTTCTTCCCATTTCATTACACGATGATTTTCATTATCAGACACATAAACTAAATGATCTCGATCGACAAATACGTAGCTGGGATAAGAGAGTTGATCGAGACAATTTCCTTTTCCATTACCACCTGCAACCACTGTACCTTTAGTATCACCAATTTTATATCGTCTCACTTCATGTTTTCCATTGTCAACGACATAGAGATAACCATTGTCGTCCATTGTCAAACCCACGCAAGCGATATTCGAAATAATTGTTTCTCCACTAGTACCATTTCGACGAGGCCATCGAACTACTCTGTTATTCCCCCAATCGCTGATGATGAGACTATCGCTCTCTTTGTCGATAATCACATCTAATGGGTTATTTAATTGATGAGCTCCATCTCCTTTTCTATTTCCACCAGCAACTACTTTTCCATTCGTTGCACCAGATTTCCATTCCACAATACGATGATTCAACCAATCAGCGACATAAATCGTTTGATCGTCGTCGACGTACAAACCCCATGGCCGATGGAGTTGATTGGTTTCACTGCCTTGCCCATTTCCTCCAGCAACAGTGATACCATTCTGTGCCCATTTTGCATTCCGATGAATATCAATGGAACTTGCACGCATTGGTACTAAAATGAAAACAAAAGTATAAAGTAGAAATAAACATCGATTTCATTGAAATGAGTCATTCTCATTGGTTTTATGCAGTATTGAACTGCTCTCAATTACAAAAGCTTGTTACTTATGAACTTGATTAGAATCTGATTTTCTCAAGGTTGAAAACAAACATTGTTGATGTTCTCAAATATTTTGTGTAAGAATCGTTAGTTTGACTAAAACTAACTAAAATTTAACTGGTGATGTGAAAAATTGCGATGAACTTGGATTTTTATCGTGAAAGAAGTTTTCTTTTTTATCGAATTTTTCCAACATATTCACTGATTTTGTTAGTTCGAGTTTGAAGTATATTTAAAAATCATTTCATTTTTTTTTCTTTGGATTTTACAATAAAATGAGTTATAACAGAATTTGAACGTAAGGAAAAACAATTTTGTTATCAGTTGATAGTAAACGGTGTATGATTTATATTCATCCCACATTTCTGAGTGAAATGAGACAAAATAAATTTGCCACTTTTATATGAATTCCTTAAAAACATCTTGCTAGATAATAACGATAGTTAATTATACTTAACTACCATGCATAAGACGTTTTTGGCTGATTCATATAAAAAAATTACAAATTTTTTGTGTAAGTATTTTTCTTTCTTATTCCATTTACGAATGTGTGACAAATATAAATCGTACATCATTCGAAAGTATTTTATGCCATGAATTTTGCATCATACTTATTATTGAGTAATTTATTCCTGAATCTCAAAAAAAACAAGTAGTTTGTAGAAAAGCTAATCGAAGTGCTAAATAAGATAAGTTTAGATAAAATAATATGTAAGTTCAAATTTTAGTAGATGAAAAGAACTCAAAAACAAATCTCTCCCAAGTTCAAGAATATTTGAAAAATTTGTCATGTTCATTATTCTGCATTGTAGCACAAACATTGATCTATATACCAATCAATCAAATCTTTTATTCTGAATTCATTTCTAATGTATTACAAATTTTCAACTTAATAGGGTATGGGACACGGTTTTTTAAACAATAGTAGTTTCGATCAAGGATCGATTTCGAACTTTCTAAAATTAAGTATTTTCACGTCTTTACAAGACAATACGAATCGCCTATCGAAACCTTGGTCTAAAATCTTTGCAAGCTTGTGCTTTGTAGGTTACCCTAGTGAATGTACTGAGTTAAGGGTACCCGAAAAAGTACCCTGCTACTAGTATGTCACAGGATCTGTTAGGTACTCAAGTACCTTATCGGGTACCCTGATAGAAAGCGTCTAGTAAATGGGTACTTAAAGGTACTGATCAAGTAATCAACTGGGTACTATTCTACAGTATTTTTAGGTACCCTGTTGCCAAAATTCCAGTATGTTGATGATCGAATCTAACCTTTGACGCTTTTCATTTTTGTTTCTCTTAAAGAAATTTATCACATTTTTTCGATTTTATTTAATTTAATTTTTCCAACTCTGAAAGCTCAAGTAGGTCAAATTTCGAGATCTGACCGGATTTGAGTTGGTCGGATCTCCATCAGACCACATCAGGGTAGTCCTTTCTCAATTTACGATCGAGATCGGCATGTTCTCGACTAGTAAATAGTCAAGAAATAATCTAGAAAAGGTTCGTATGAAAAAAATATTAATTTCTTATGTTTTGTCAAGTTGTTTATATGAAGCCGTGCGTGCAAAACAAAACGGTGAATGAACAGTTGTTACATAGAACGCAACAAATCTAAGGTACCTCGTAGAGCTTTTCTCAGTAAAATTACAGATGCAGGTACCCATAGAAGTACTTGTTCAGTAAACATACTGCTATGGGTACCCAGTGCAGTACCTACATCAGTATAATTATTGAGAATTTTCGAAGTACCTATATCGGGTACCTTGCTGAAGCTTTCTCAGTACATGGGTACCCTGAACTCAGTACTTTCTCTAGGGTATTCAATAGGTATAAATTTTTGAGGATTCTTACAAAAAAAACGATAGTAAAAGATTTCATCATGATTCTAGTTATTCTCAATAGCAATAAGTGTGAAGATTTCTTCTTCAAATTGTTATTGTATCGCATTCTGAACTGGTTAAATCCTAGAAGAAAGTTTTGTTTTGTTGGTCTAGAATTTTCTAAAGGTTGATACTGATACTGATTTGAGCTTTAAATTAGAAACAATACTTCTATGATTATATCTTGAATGGACAGTTACGGAACCGATGAAGTTAATAAAAAATGTCATGCAGTTTTATAAACTCCCTAAAAATAATTTAAATAATTTCATCCTTTTTAATTTATCTATGAAGAATCTAGCTATAATTGAAATCTGGATTAAATTTAATACTATTTAATCAATTTTCATTTTTATTACATGTAATGTCATGTATTTTTAATATGTTTAATGTCTCAGTGCAATTGGAAGAAGTGTACATTTTAGTATTATTTCTTTTCTTTCATCGACAAAAAACAAATACATGTAAAACGGTATGAGACCTTTCATTATGTGTCAAACAACTCGAAGATGAGAGTCAGAATCAGGCTTGCCGATTAGGGGGAGATTTCCCCTCCCTAAAATGCTAGGCTGTCTGCCAAAATTTTTAACACTTTCTGCGAAAAAAACTTAATATTGTCTGGGAAATTTTCACTATTTTTGAAGGAATCGAAGCATTTTCTGCCAAAATTTTATCCCCCCCCCACTCCTGAAAACAATCGACAACCCTGGTCAGAATCAAAACAACACTTTCTGCTTTTTAAATCAAAGAGATTGTGAGACATAAAATTCGAGTAGATAGTTTTATTTTCTACTCATAGATAATGGCATAGACCTATATGAAATGCTTATTAATACTATAGATTTATTTCAATTAAATCAAACTTCTGAAATATCTCTTATACACATGGAAATAATCAGTCTGATCGGCTACTTTGCTTCGTTTTTTTGCACATAAACTTCAGTCTTATTTTAGAACAAGTACAGTCAACATTTGCTCTATATTTGATATTATATAAAATCCTATTCATTATTTTTCATTTTTCTATATTAATAATATAAATAACAATTAGTTTTAATTTTAATTTTTCTATGTTGGTAATATACATAACGGTTAGTTTTATTGCTTTTATTTTCTATATCAATAATACAAGAATCTTAATTCTCATTTCTTGTTTTTCTAAATTGGCAGTTTAGAAAATTTTATTTATTATTTTTGATATTTTATATTGATAATATAGAAAATCTCAATTTTAATTTTTGATATCTCTATAACGATAATATAGAAAATCTTATTTTTGAATTCTTATCGATTTTAATTGATAATACAAATATCAGTTAGTTTTAATTCTTTTTTTTCTATATTATCGATATAGAAAAATACAAAATAAAAACTACCCTAGTGAAACATCTTGTAAGCAAGATCTTGGATCTTGTGACAAGACCTTGGCCAAGATACAAGGTACAGAAATGTTAACAGTTCTTGATAATTTAGGTACAAGATAATAACGTTATCATCTTGCACCAAGATCTTGACTTGGCAGCACCTGTTGCGGATGATTTTGCTACTGCTTAGAGCTAGATCGTCCCGAATCGTTTAAAAAAACATGATCTTCATTGAA